GGCTTTAAGCAACAAACTATATAGTTTTGTTAATTAAAATCAGGATATATTTCACTAGCTTCAGGGCGCGTCTTTCGGATAGTAATTACATATTTCTATCTAAGGCATATTCTACAATAACATTAAATTATAGCTATAGGCAGAAATTGATCTAATTTATGTCAGAATGACTTGTAAGGATTTTTTTATGCGAAGACCATCGAGTTGTTTTCGAGTTATCTACCATTGAATTGAATTTGTATCATGCATAGTTCTCATATAAGGACATCTTAAAACACATTTTTATATTGTTTATTGTAATGTATGTGTAAAATCTATTAAAATTGATAAAATATGTTTGGCGAGAGACCCTTTAATCTAAATTTAAAGAAAAACGAATTTTGTTCTATCTGAAATAAAGTTTTATTATTTAGTTATATCAAATAAGGCGAGATATTCTTATAATTGATACAGAATTTATTTTAGTTGATTGTGAAGGTAGTTAAAATTTAACTTATTTTTTTTATATTATTTTACTATTAATTCTTTATTTACTTTTCCATGTTTTAGTTATAATTGTGTTATTAGTAAATTTTTGCTACAAAGTAACACCAGCTTGTTGGAAATTGTACAACGCAAAGATATTAATGTTTTTTTGCTACAAACTTGTTCTCATTCTCAGCCAAATTTCAAGAGAAAGTGTAAATCAAATTACGAAATTGTGTAATTAATTACAAACAGGAAGTTTAATTACTAACCTGATATCTAACAAAATGGTGAATCGAAAACGGCATATAAACTACAATGAATTCAATAAATTACTGAATATCCAACACGTAAGCATCTGATTGCATTGACCTTTCCCATACTCTTCTTATTTTGTAGAAGCATCGCCCCATATGGCGTCACCTTACTACTTCTGTCCATTGAAGTTTTTTTTGGCATATAAATTTTCGAGATAAATACTTCATATGATGCAGATCTAGACCTTTAACTTGTTTGCAAAATTTCAGATTATTTGCTCATGCCGTTTTCAGAAAAACTATTCTTATTGTGAAAAACGATCCAAAATTAAAAAGTGTTTCAAATCGGGCTAAGATCAGCACACAAATATGTTTTTCAATACATTTCTTATTATTATATTTATGAATAATCTCTTGCAATTATTTCTGTTTTAAGTGTCCCAGCTGGTCTTTATAAGAAATTAATACATATACATATAAGAAGATGGAATCCAAACTCATAAAAGAAACAAATACAAATGTAGCTAACACAATTTATAGCAAATAAAGCCGGCGATACAAAAGAAAACTCAATGCTCCAGTTCTTCCAATATATTAATAAATTGTCGCATTCTAAGCGAATACAAGTTTATTATAAGTATTATATATTCAACACATGTAAAGTGAAAATGGGGTTTATAACCCACTGTGGAGCCCATGGGACGTGTAAAACCCAATGGGAGTATGGAAAAAGAGCATGGGAGGCCACACTTTGAGCAAAACTATTGTGCTATCAATATATAAAAGGCAAATAAGCGTCTATTTTCATCCAAATTACTGTTTGATTTATCTTTTTGTAATGAAACTATATTCAAAAGGGTAGTTGAGTTTGCGAAAATTCCGGATTGCAAACTTATTCCGGATGCTGTTATGACCGTTCTAAATCAGAAGTAAAAGAGGAAATGTTTTTCAAGGACATTTTAGGCGAAATAAATTCACTTCTATTGTGACTTTGCAGCAAAAAATAACGTTAACTATGTATCAAGATTAAGATTTGACCTAGACTATTTATGAATTACTACAAATCAGACAAAATGACAGTTGCTTAATAGACACATTGTCTGGCCACATGAGGAATTTGTAAAACTATATGGTAAAGCAATTTATTATTCCTTAGTTATATGGCGGTTTCGTAATATATGGTTGTTAACATATTCAAGAAAATGTGTTAAGTACTTTTTTATTTCTGAGGCAACCATTTATTCGGCGTTCAGAGTAATCGTCTTAGATTCTTAAAATGACATTATTGCACTGCTTGAATATTAGATTGGATAAAATGTGACTTTAGGAAATACTTTTAATTTCCTCCAGTCATGAACTATGTTATATAATAGTGCAAGGAAATGTATATTTTAGAAGTGTTAACAATGTTCTTTATATCTTCTATAATGTTGAAACTAATCTGATTCTGGGTAAAGATTATTTGCAACAAGGAGGAACGTTTTTTTATTTTTTTTATTTTTGTTCATGAATACTCTATATCATTTCATATTTAAGAGCTATTTTGTACTTTAACATGTTCTAGTCTTATAACACTTTCAATTTAAAACTGATACTTGAACTTAAATTAAAAATATTTCGTATTTTATTATTTCGATTTCAATTACGAATAAATTAGATAGCGAATAGTTTTAGCACCAACTAAATTAAGTGACGTCATAATTTATATTGCAAATGACATCATCGATGTTCACGTCACACTATAGGCTACATGTAATCATAACAAACAAACTAGACGATTTTCTTTGAGAACTTGTAAATGTTTACTTTATTTCGCCGGATTATTATTTAATAAGTGAACAAATTGTTTCGTTTAAAAAATAAGACGCATGTTTGTGTAGCTTGTGTTTGATTGCCGATTTGATTTTTTTTTATTGAAATTATCGTGAACTTTTGCATGTGATTTGACAATTCAAGACAAAAATTGCAGTAAAGTTTAGTTTATGTGATTCTAAGCGGATTTTTGGATCGATGTTTAAATTAAAGGTAAGAATGTTATTGTATTAGGCCTACATTCTGTTGTATCTTTTATCCGAGTCGAAAGAAGAAATGGCCTCCAATTACAAATTTTAGGTTTCAGGGGCGGAGGAATTTGTTTTCAAGAATTATTTCTTTGAACAAAACTCCCCCTTTTTAACGAAATTCGCTATCTAAAAGTAGATTATTTTGTTATTTTGACAGTTATTATGTGTTACATGATAAATAGAAAACATGCTACTGTCTTTTGATATCAATTTTATCAGGCTCGGCTGATATGGGCAGAAAGGGTTTGTCAAGCCTCGCCCTTTCTAGCCCATATAATCCTCGCCTGATAAAATTGATATCAAAAGACAGTAACATGTTATTCTCTATATCTACATGTAAAATTGGCAAATCTACAGTGAATCGATATTTTGCTGACTTTTAATAAAACGTGTAAATTTATACATAAATTACGAATTTCTGTAACATTTTCTGTATTCATAAGAGAAATAAATTTAAAATTACTACAGTAGGGTGATTCCAATAGTATATGCTTAGTGATTTTTCTACTTATTAAACAGACTCCGAAAAAAGGCTTCTTCCCAATTGAAATTTTCTTTAAAATCATGCAGTTCTCCCAAAAATCTAAACTTAAACCAGCTTTTGTACTTCCCAAATCAGCAATTTTAGTGATAATTTTTCCTAAAATCAAAAGGCCTCTTCCCAATAAAGAGAGAAAAAACACTGATGCTTTCACTCAAAAATTTACATTCCAGCTGTAAAGGCAGTTTAATTTAGCACCTAAAACTCACTTTTCAAAGATGAAAATTACCATTTTTTACGAGTGTTTTTGCAGAATATACAATAGTTTTCCAACGAACTCCGTGACAGTTATCACAAAAACTCCTGAATAAGTTATCATAAGAACTCCATCCCTTGTGTAACACTTCCTCCCCCGTGTTAAAGGCGCACGCTAAATAAACCGTTAGCATCCTTTAAAAGTTTTACTAGTCATGTTGATAATTTTTTTTTAATCTTTATCTTTATAATGACTATATGCTATAATATGAATTTGTTATAGCAACGACTGAATGACAGTCAGACAGACAGACGAACGAACGGATGAACAACATATGAAATGGTAAATCTTAATCTTCAAACGGCAACAAACAATGCCTGTCTTACTGGTTTTAAAATGCGGTTCTCATTTCAATTTTCCGTTTAAATGAAACTGATTATATACAGTAGAGGATATTTGTTTGTTTTGCATGTAAGTTTGAAATTTATCACACACCCGTGCCGATTTCGCGACTCCGTAAATATGGTATTGCACGGCCGTGCATATATTTTGACGTGACGTCATTAGCGTTATACAAACATAGTGTAAAGACGCGCTAATTGTAAGCGTTATACTATAGGCGCGTCAATAAAAAATGACTCTTATTTCACTTTAAATGGTCTTTATTTTGGGTTTGTGATAAATAGAATATTAAATTCGTGTCCATTACTCCAGTATAAGTTCAATACTGAATTTATTGCACGAGTTGATTAAAATTATATTATGCGAGCCTTTGGCGAGCATAATATTATTTTATTCAACGATTGCAATATATTCAGTAATGAACTTACACGAATTTAATATTCTATTTATCACATACCCAAAATCAATACCGTTTAAAGTGAAATATTAAGAGTCATTTTTCATTGACGCGCCTATACTTTAACGCTAGTTACATTTAGCGCGTCTTTACACTATGTTTGTATAACGCTAATGACGTCACAATATATGCACGACCGTGCAATACCATATTTACGGAGTCTCAAAATCGGCACAGGTGTGTGATAATCATGTTTCAAATGTTTTCCAACAGTTAGATGACGTCACTTAACGACGTCATTTGACAACGTCTCCTAGCAATACCAGAATGAGGACAGACAGAGATCCATGATGGGCGCTGCAATTTGCCATTAGCTAAAATGTCCTCGCATAAGGTGAGAGTCATAAGAGTTGAGCCCTCAGATGGTACGGATCATTCCCCCAGTGAGGGCAGATAAAAAGAAACTTTTTGGAACAACAGTTTTATGTTGGCAAAAAAAAGAAGTAAAAAGTTTTTACGTCCCAAGGGGGCCAGGAAAACCCAAAATTTTCTTTCCCTGTACCCGACAAAAGGTTTTTAAAAGGGGTTTCAAGTTACCCCAATGCCCCGGGAACAGATTTTAAACCTAGATATCGGGGATGTTTTTTAAAACAAATTCAAGGGGACGAAGAAATTAGAAGAGGAGGAAGTCAAGTTAACAAATACACCAAAGCAGGAAGCAGGACAACTGGCAGTTGATATAAGTATGAGTTTAGAAGACAAAGAGGAAAATCATAGAGAATCAATGGATGTATCAACCAATACAGGGGTAGTTTGTACAGACACGAAAATGAAATACGAGGCGGGAAATAAGGTAAAGTTCGAGTTCCACCCTTGTGCTTAGCATAATACTTCAGTAGATCTACTACTTATAACTAACTAAAATGATTATAAATTAATCACAGATGCAAATATCTTGACTTATACTTATATTATATCTAATGCATATTATGTGTTTCACCGTGTATATCCAGTAACGCTGGAATGTGAAAATTACGCACGATTCGTGCAATAAGTAACGCAGAATTGTGCAATAAATGGCCGATACCTGGCAGGATTTCCAACGCGGTAAGTTAACTGGCCAACATATTTTTTTATAGAACCGAACTGTAAAAAATGAATAGCTGCATACGGCTGCAAAGACATTACTCTTTATCAATCATCAAGATTATTTCCACGAAATTGTTTAATTTCGTGAAAATGATGAGTTGACTACATTCCGACGTTACTGGATATACACGGTGTATTTGTTATTTGTTACATGTCTACGTCCTCGTTATGCCTCGTGCGGGTTTTGACAATAATGTGAGGGATATATCTATATTTTATTTTTTATAGATATGAAACAAGCATGCTTTTGTACTTCACAGAAAATATTCAATAATTCTGGCTTTCCCAATAAAATGGCCTATAAAGTGGTTTAAGTGAGTTGTATCTTTTTTAAGCTAAGATTGTAAGTCCAAGCTTACAGGTGCAATCCACAAATCTATATCAAATTTACAATATGTATGTAAAGATACAGAACAAAATGACATTAAGTGTATCTTATTTGTTACTGTACCTGACAGTTCACGTTCTTGCTTAAGATTATTATTCCGAATAGTTTTGTTGTCAATTATAATTTGGTACTTAGATATTCCGGGTTGATTTCATTCTTTTCATGTGAAGGATTGGTAACATCGAAGAGCATTATTTGTTGAATTTGAATTGTACATTTTTGAAAAACCTTTGAATGAAATTGATGTAAGCTGCACCACATTTGTAATACTATCACCCTCGGGATTCCTCTTCAATTGTAGGAAAATGAAGACCTTGATAAAAAAGATTCAAGATGTAAAAGCAGAAAATGATAACATTGCGACCACTTCTAACGAAACTGACCAGGAAAATGACAAGAAAAAGAAGAAAAAGAAGATGAAGCTTCCAAGTTGTTTTGGTTTCATTTCAACTTGGATAGCCAAAAGGAAGGAGAAAAGACGTCAAAAGAAAAAGAAGGCTATAGCAAGCCGCGCCCCCACACCAACGCTAGGTAAGAATTACACACACACGCACGCACGCACGCAAACACGCACAAACACACACCTTGCTCGCATTTTGTGACAGTTAGAAAATATATGAATATATGTTTCCTGCTTGTAAGTATATTTTCGTCAAACTTATATTTAAAGAGAAGAAACTGCGTACTGAGAAGACAAAACTTGTTTTATTTTATTTAACAAGATAATTCATTGGCAATACTCTTTCTATTTAAGTTCAATATGAGCATAGAAAATCACGTGGCGGAGAGTCTTTTACCATTGAGGTAGACTGCAAACCGATAGTGATGAAGCCGATATTGCCGCCAATAAAGACAGCTGACGGGCCTGTAAGTATAAATCTTATATTTTGAATACAACATACTTTCTATGCTTCCGCCTGGAAATATATCTGATGTATGTTTGAAAATTGTATTTTTGAATACAACATACTTTCTATGCTTCCGCCTGGAAATATTTCTGATGTATATTTGAAAATTATATATGTATTGATAAGATATATCTATGTAACTGCACTATTTGCTATTTAGTCAGTATATAAAAATGTCAAAATTTCCTTAATAAACGATTTGTTAATTTGTCCAGACTGAGGTTCATATAACATACGTACAAAATGTAATTAGAATAGTAAGTGTAAAAGCCATTTGAAATTTGCTCTTCAACATCAACTAAAAGATGATATATTAAATCTGCAACATAAAGTTATATTTAATCCAATGTATATATCCGGCAAACAAAAGCTACAAATGAACTAAATCCCATTAACGCTATATAATTAACGAGAGAAAAAAACGAGATTAGCCGAGTATTGACGAATATGTGTATTGATTAAAAACATCTATAAATTCACAAGACAAACAACGGCACTATATGGAACGTAAGGAATAGCCAATAGTCTAAGATTTGAAACTTTGGACTTTTATATTTTTTTTATATTGTTACTATGATTATATACAATTTAGACAAAATTGAGAAGTTTCAAAAGGAAAGTTTGAGTTTGCCTTTAATATTTTGTTACATTTTTAACAGATACGCCTAGCATGTGAGGCTCGGCAAGAGAAAGCCGAGGCCAAAAGAAATGAGGAGTTATCCAAAAAGAAAATACTGGCAAGAGAGCACCAGAGAAAAAAGTAAGCTCACTTATTTTGCGTAACAACCGTTTGATTACATATACACGTACGTTCAATAACAGAATTTACCTTCTTTAAAGGAATGTGTGTTTTCGTAGACCTGATGTTCAGACAATAATTACAAAGTTTTATATTTCGCATAATCATTATACATTTTAGATATGATCTCTATCATTAAAAAAGATATTATTTACATAACACATGTTTTTTAATAGCATCAATTCACATCAGACAATAAATCATTACATAACACCAGGTATATATCATTTACATCACATCAATATATATTACTAATATCACACCAGACACTTTATTTTTGACATCACACCAGATACGATATCAATTACATCACACGAGATACTATATCATTTACATCACACGAGATACTATATCATTTACATCACACCAGATCTATACAAAATAGGGTTAACGCACGTTTTTCCGTGTTATAACGTCTGCAGAGTCCCGAGGAACGGTTGGTGCCCGAGCCCGGTAGGGCGAGGGCTCCAACAGTTCCGAGGGACTCTGCAGACTTTATAACACGAAATAAACGTGCGTTGACGCTATTATAGCATAAAATTTTCAAACAGATTCGTGATGTATAGTTTATACAAAACACAATTACATTAAAGTATTGTGCTTGGACGGTATTTATCCAACTCTATGTTTTACGTATGCGTTTCATTTTTCCGGGGCCAACAACTTTGAAAATTCTCGGAATCGAACGAAATTTTGAATTTTAATTAATTTAACAAAGCTTGGCCTTTGGAAATTTATTATCTCAAGAAAAAAAATGTAACATTACTCTACCCAAGACAAAACATGACCCTCAGAAATTCTTAGAATGATTTCAGATTGACGGTAGAAAAAAGATCAGTGACATCAGAATCGGTTTTTTTTTCAAGCAAACAAGTTTATAAAAAAATCAGGCACTAAGCATTATTCTATCAAAGAAATATAAAAAGCATTTATCAACATTGACATAAATAAAAAAACATTTTCTCATGTTAATTTTGTGTTATCTAGTTTTGTAAGTTAATCGGAGTTTTAAACTGAATGACAGGTAGATTCTACTGTATTTGTTTACATTAACAACTGTCCGTTTCTTAGAAAGGGCGACAACCAAGATTTAGCACCGATGTCCATACGCCGTTTTTCCGGCATAGTTACTTGAATATGCGACTGAGGCCCTCGAATCAATAAATTTCAATATAACAAGAGCACATGACTCTTCGGCAAACAGGCCAAATCGTCATTTTTTGTTTGTTTGTTTGCTTGGCCCTGTATGTATTGCGCATAGGTGAAACCTGGCTATAACAAGAGCGCGTGACTATGTTAACACATGGTTTTGGTCCCGTTATAACATGGGAAAAATAGGGGAAAATAGCCGATTTTATGCTATAATATCCTTTACATTCCACCAGATACAATATTATTTACTTCCCACCAGTGAAATATCATTTACATCACACCAGATACAATATTATTTACATCCAACCAGATACAATATCATTTACATATTACCAGATACAGTCGACTCCGGTTATAACGAATTCAATGGGACAACATTAAAATATCGTTCGTTATATCCGAAGTTCGCTACAAGCGAAGTAGCAACAACTTGCTGACTTGTTTGGATGGCGAAATTTTTCATGAAAAAGCCATACTTTTAACTGGTTACCGGTGTAACCGGTATTTTACTGCAGCGGTTTTTTAATGGAACAATATTTTATGAACATGGTTTATGTATTTATTCATGTACATGTAGTACTTGTCTATAAAAGTGATTACCATTTTTATTCTTTTGCTATTTGTTTATATTGTTTGGTTAATATTGCAAACAAAAAAAATCGATCATTTGGTAATTATTGGGTATTTACAGCAATCAACTGAGGGTGCGAAATACAAATTTTCCTTAAGAAGTAGGAAATTATGTTGTGAGAACATTTTATCAAAATCTTTATGTCCTGCAGCCATAACTAACTTGTGCAACCATTCGATATTATTATCATCGGATAGCGTTCGTTATTCATGTACTGATCCTAATCGAGCATATCCCGATAATTCAATTATAACAGTTTGTTATAACCGAGGAAATTTACATGTTTTCCGTCATTTGGGGCTTGATAAAATGGTTCGTTATAGCCGAAAATTCGTTATAAGCGAGTTAGTATTAAGCGATGTGATTTAATGTAAAATAAAGAAGGAATCGGCCGGGGATGTCAGATTTAGTTCGCTATTAACGATAATTCGTTATAAGCGAGTTCGTTATAAGTGGAGTCGACTGTACTATATCATTAATATCCAACCAGATACTATATCATTTATGTCACACCAGATACTATATCATTTACTTCACACCAGTACTATGTCTTTAACATCACACCAGATACTATATCATTTACATCACACCAGAAACTACATCAATTACATCACACCAGAAACTATATCATTAACATCACACCAGATACTGTATCATTTACATCACACCAGATACAATATCATTAACATCACACCAGATGCTATATCATTTATGTCACACCGGATACTATATCATTTACATCACCACAGAAATTATATCAATTACATCACAACAGATACTATATCATTTACATCACACAAGATACTATATCAATAACATCACAACAGATACTGTATTATTTACATCCAACCATATACTATATCATTTACATCACACCAGATACTATATCATTTACATCTCACCAGATACTATATCATTTATGTCTCACCAGATACTATATCATTTACTTCACACCAGTACTATGTCTTTAACATCACACTAGATACTAAATCATTTACATCACACGAGAAACTATATCATTAACATCACACCAGATACTATATCATTTACATCACACCACAAACTATATCATTTACATCTCACCAGATAGAATATCATTTATGTCACACCAGATACTATATCATTTACATCACACCAGATATCATATCATTGACATCACACGATATACTATATCATTTACATCACACCAGATACTAGATCACTTACATCACACGAGATATTATATCATTTACATCACACCAGATAATATATCATTTACATCTCATCAGATACTATATCATTTACATCACACCAGAAACTATATCATTTACATCACACCAGATATCATATCATTGACATCACACGAGATACAATGTCATTTACATCACACCAGATACAATATCATTTACATCACACGAGATATTATATCATTTACATCACATCAGATAATATATCCTTTACATCACATCATATACTATATCAATTACATCACACGAGATATTATATCATTTACATCACATCAGATACTATATCATTTACATCACATCAGATATTATATCATTAACATCTTATCAGATACTATATCATTTACATTACACCAGAAACTATATAATTTACATCACATCAGATAATACATCATTTACATCACATCGGATACTATAACAATTACATCACACGAGATACTATATCATTATCATCACACCAGATACTATATCAATTACATCACACCAGATGCTTTATCATTAACATCACACGAGATACTATATCATTTACATCACACCAGATACTGTATCATTTACATCACACCAGATACTATATCATTATCATCACACCAGATACTTTATCATTTATGTCACATCAGATACTTTATCATTTACATCACAACACACATAATTTTATATATGCAATCTTCATTACTCAACGACATTGATAACATTCAATTGTCACAATTTTATTTGATATATTTTAGAACTGAATGCAAGCAGCGAAAAAACGAAGCCGAACACCAGTTTCAGGAAAGAGTGCGACTCAGTATCAGCCATAGACAGGCAGACGCTGAACGAAATAGGAGCCGCATGTCGTCTCAAAGAGCCAGTATGAGCCGGATGTCATCCAGAGCAAGAAGCTCACTGGCTGTTTCCTCCTCTTCAGAGTCTGTCGACGAGGGCAATAAGAAAGCCCTCAAGGTCGACAGCTCTCATTAAATTTTAGGCCGGCCGACACTCCCTATAAATAGTAGGCCACATACATTATGTTATTGTCACGTGATAGGACGTTTTCTTGACATAAACTACAAAAAGCAACTTAATCCTTTTTCCCTTACTCATTTTTAATTTTATAATGTAATTTTTTTTTTCATTTTATTATCAGATGACCATCTTTTCTCGCCGTTTCAGTCTTTACTTTTTCGTTATCCTTCTATACGAATTTCAAATAATGCTGTGTGTAACTTATGTCCATGACAATATATTCAGATAAGCATTTATTTTCAGTTTGTCTTTACTTTCTTCATTTTTAAACTCTTGTTTTTGGAAAACAAGCTAATATCATTTCGCTCTTAGTCATGTTAAATTTTCAATTGACCAAATTCTGTGAAATTTCAACACACTAGTTATATTTTAGATCTATTTTCAGAAGTAATACAAAGTCGATATATTATTTTATCTAAATGATTAACTTTACAAAGTTTACATTTATCTTCCTTAATTAAAAATAACATCTTTGTTTTAAAATCTTTTTGACAACCTGACCATGATGAATATCATCTGCCTTGATCAAAATAAAAAACAACAACATAAAACCAAGAAAAATAAGTATCAAATCTACATTTTGACCTTGATTTATCAAGGTCAAGTATGATGATACTTACCAAAAATATCTCATCTCATTTTATCATCCAATCATCCATGTATTCATCTAAAATTTCCAAGAAACAAAGCAATGGTCTTTTACATACAGTTTAAGAAAACTCTAAACCTTTTAAAAATGCATTTTTTTATCATACCCTACGTGTAAATTTCATTCAATGATTTGTTATATTTTCTAAGTTTCTTTATTTTCATTTTAAGAATCGGTTAGTAAGATCATTACGTATATTTTTGGACATTCTCATCTTAGCAACAAGGAGATATTTTCGACTTATACTATGCATACTATCTAACTGTTTTTTTTTTTTTTTTTTTTTTTTTTTTTTAACAATAAAGTTTAAATTTACACTTTTTTGATAATTATCATAATTATGTTAACAACCTAACCATGATGAATATCATCTGCCTTGAACAAAAAAAAACAAACATAAAACCACGAAAAAGAAGTATCAAATCTACATTTTGACCTTGATTTTTCAAGGTCAAGTATGATGATACTTATCAAAAAAAATCTCATATTATTTCATCATCCAATCATCCATGTATTCATCAAAAAACTTCAAGAAACAAGGCAATGGTCTTTTACTTACAGTTTAAGAAAACTCTAAATCTTTAAAAGATACATTTCTTATCATACCCTACGTCAGGCTAAATGTACATTACAATAACTGGTTTATTATATTTCCTAATTTTCATTCATTTTTCAAAATATGGTTAGTCTGACAGCCCACACATCATTGCGCATATTTTTGGACATTATTATCTTAGCAACAGGGAAATATTTATTTATAAACACTATACTTACTATCTTAACTGTTTTTTTTTTATACAAATAGTTTTACACATTTTTGATAATTCATCATAATAATGTTACAGAAAATCTTTCTTTTTTTCATTCGAATAACAGTTAAAAAACCAATATGGCTATAAATATCATTGATATAAATTATTTAAATGACTATTCACGTGACATGGCTCCGATATTTCAAGGCATAAAGACCCTTTGGCCTGCTGTTATAGGGATGTTGTCGGCTTTGGTGTTTTTAGGCATTTTGGCATTTTGTTTTCAAATTTACACAATCTATCTTCCTGTTAACATTGCACCATTAATAATAAGGTTTAAAATAGGTATATCAATAAAATAAATACATCTACAGTTTTTTACACGTTTTCCTGATACATACATTATATAAATAAAAACAATTTTGGATCACAAAGCATACTGAACTTGTTGTTGTTATTGGTTCTAAAACCATTATTCAAACGCTATCATAAAACTCACGTTTGCCTTTACAAAAATAAATAAATAAATTAATAAATAAATAGATAAATAAATAAAAAAACTATGTCCGATTGGCAGCGTACTTCACTTTCCTTGTGCGGGAAAGTAAAATTCAAATTCCTCAATTTAGAGACCGTTTTTTAGCTATTTAGCTGAATCAAATTTTAGTGTCATAGATCTTCATGTAGTTATTGACGAACATTGTTTTCCAGTTTTAACAGTCTTTATTTTTGAAATGTGACAAATAAAATATTATATTCGTGTAGGTTCATTACTAAATTTAGTGAAAGAATTTACCTTTGTATTACACATGACGCTACATTCGGACTCGAAAATTTAAAAAAGTTCGAAATGTTTAACACGTAGGAGGAAGTGAACAAGAAACACATTGGCAGCATAAGAACTCTGGGAGATATTTTGAGTCATCACAAGAACTCCGGGACATTTGAAAAATCTGGTATAAATTTGTTAGTCGGGGCTTTATGCTTGCAATTTTGTATTGTCATAGTGTAATTATGTGTGGCAAGGATTAAGACTTGAAATAAACAGGTCAATACTTGGCAAATGGCAAAAAAATTGGAAATTTTACTCAAAACTATCAGATTTTAAGCAAGAGGCGATGAAAAATGGACTATGAATTAGTTATGACACATAATACAATATGAAGAAGAAGAAGAAGAACTTATATTTGCACTAAAGCTCTAAAAAGAGCCATTGACAAAGCATCAATATATATACATACAAAAAATAGAAACATGGCAATACGTGACAAGAAGTCGAGATGGCATATGCATTCACGGGAAATAATTCTTTGATAAATGGGAAAATAGCTCATACACTTTTAGTTGATTCACTGTGTCATATAAAATTGCAAAACCAAAGAGCTTCAGGGAACAATATTAAACAAAGCGTGGTTTCACATGACATCTCGCTTGGGAGAGGCAGGATAATGTAAATATTACAATAAAACAAAAAAATATTAATTTCTATATATATAACAATAATATGGTTTACGAGGTTGGATGCTCCTAGATAATATGTTGATTGTTGATATCATTTAAGGATTTTGCTCTTTCTTGGAAAGGGGCGCTATCCACAAATGATACATAGTGCTAAATATGATGCATTCACCAACACATAAATGCCCCATCGAAAAACGAAAACGAAAATATAGAGCACATGATGGTGATCTGTACACAAAAACGGCATTATAAACAGATATATTTATTAGGAGTCCCCATCAACGGGACCATTTTTTAAAGGTATCTATGACTAGGTTATCATCAAAGTACTAAATATTATGACCCAACATAAAGCATTTTATTTGACCAAAAAGATTAAAGTAGTCTTATAAAATGATATAGATATCTATATATATTTTATCGAGTCTCCGTTTGCATTTTAGACAGAAAGGGTAAATATCAAAAGCGAGTTAAATATTTATAATGTAAAGCAATTTATTTTTACAAAACATTTTGTCTTAGTAAGCATTAACCTAGAATTATGCTATAGATATTTATCATGCAACTACTATGGTTACTGCCCGATAACACTTGCCTGATAATTATTTTTGATATCACGTCAGTAACCTGATATCAATAAATAGCCCCGCCCATTTTAACGGACTTTTTTCAATTGCTTATATTCTCATTTTCATCAGCATGTGAATTCTACAAAAATAATGTAATGTCATACCCTTACAAGTCTTAAATCAATATGCGAAATTTATTTATTTATTAATTATTTTTATCAAGTGCCTTTTTACACTATCATCGCAACATATCGCCATATGAGTGGAGCATTACACTGTCTACCATTCTATATATTTAAGGGGAATCGCCCGAAAGTTTCACAAACCGACAGTTTGCAATGCCTGGTCGAAATAGGTCCAAAACAACAACAACAACAACAAAAACAGCAACAACAAAATAAAAATCAACAGACAAAAAAAAACAAGAAAAAAAAAAAACAAACAATAACAAAAACAACAACTTAATGTGTCCTGAGAAAGAAAACAACTTGAAAATTTATTTCTTTTATCACACACCCGTGCCGATTTTGCGACTCCGTAAATATGGTATTGCACGGCCGTGCATATAATTTTGACGTGACATCATAAGCGTTATACAAACAAAGTGTAAAGACGCGCTAAATGTAAGCGTTATCATTTGGTTATACTATAGGCGCGTCAATGAAAAATGACTCTTATTTCACTTTAAACGGTCTTTATTTTGGGTATGTGATAAATAGAATATTAAATTCGTGTAAGTTCATTACTGAATTTATTGCACTCGTTGAATAAAACAATATTATGCTCGCCAGAGGCTCGCATAATATAATTGTATTCAACTCGTACAGTAAATTCAGTATTGAACTTACACTCATTCAATATCCTCTTTTTCTGAAATTGGTGTCTCCATAGTATTGCATGCTTGTGGCTCTTTTTTGCTTTTATTTTTTTAATTTTGAGAAAGAGCAAAAATTCTTATATTTTTGTTTTCAAAATTTGAAATTATACACTGATCTCCCTGTTAATTTTCCAAAGAACTTGATAGTGGTAGACAGAGCACTTGAAGACTTCTCCCCAAGGAGTTTATAGTATCCTTTAAGTACAAGAAACATGTGATATAATTATAAAGTCTAAATTTGACGTTAACCCTTTATCTGGCCTTGCTGTTTCCCATAGGAACAAAAAAAATCCATTTTTGGTAATTAGAATCAGGATATAGAACACTGACATCAATTAATGGTACTTAATTTAGACTCTACAAGTTTCTTTTATTGCAACATTAGAAACAACAATTTACGAAACAATATTAACATTTCACACAAGTACCACAAACTTACTGGAAAATTGTACATAGGTATTCTTGTTTTTGCCGCAAACTTCTTCACATTCGCAGCTAAATTTCAACAGAAAATGTAAATCAAATGACGAAATTGTGTGCTTAATTACTAGCAGGAAATCTAATTACTAAAATGACGAATCTCTTACAGAATCGTGAATCGAAAACAGCAAATAAACTACAAAGAATTCAATAAATTACTTCATATCCGACACGTAACCATCTGATTGCAATGACCTTTCCCATGCTCTCATTATTTAGTAGAAGCATTGCCCCATATGACGTCACCTTACCACTTCTGTCCACTGACAATTTTTTGGCATATAAATTTTCCAGATAAATGTTCCATATGATGCAGCTTCTGACCTATAACTTGTCTGCAAAATTTCAGATCATTCACTCACGCGTTTTTTTTTTCAGAATAATTTTTCTATTTTGACAAACGAAGCTTTGCAAATTGGGCTAAGAACAGCACGAAAGTACGATTGTCAATTTATTTCTTAGTATATTTCTGAATTATCTTTTGCAAATCTTTCTGTTTTAAGTGCCCCAGCTGGTTTGTATAAGAAATCGATAATATATATAAAAAAGACGGAATATAAACCCATTAAAGAAACAAAATAGCTGAAACAAATATATTATATAAAAAAGAAAACTCAAGGCTCCAATTCTTCTAATATATCAATAAATTGTCGCATTCTTAGTGACATGTCCGTTTTAGAAGTAAAAGGGAAAGAAGTTTCTTAAAGACAATATAGGCGAAAAAATAATAACTTGTTTTGTGACTTTGCAACAAAAAAGAACGTTTACCGCGTATCAACTAGAAATTTTGAAAAGGGATATTTATAAATTACTACAAATCAGACAAAATGACAGAAAGAAAGACCGTCTTGGCACAACAGGAATCTGTAAAACTAAATGGGTAAGCAATATATTAATCCTTAGTAATGTGGTGGTTTTGTAAGAGTGATATATGTTTGTTAGACTATCCAAGAAATGTATTAAGTACGATTCTATTTCCCATTTATTCAGCGTACTTATTATCTTAAATTCTTCAAAATGACACTATTGCACCGCTTCAACATGAAAAAATCGGAAACATAGGACTTCAGGAAATATCATTAATTTCCCCCAGACATGAACTATGTTATATTGTAAGGAAATGTGATATTTTAGAAGTGTTAACAATGTCCTTGATATCTTATATATTGTTAAAACTAATCTGGCTTTTGGGTAAAGATTTAATTGAAACAAGAAGGAACATTGTTATTTCTGTATTCTTGTTGATGATTATTTGATAAATATCATTTCACTTTCTAAATTTTTAATGGTACCTCATCATTTTTGTCTTATTGTACTTACAATGTTACACACAGACTCGTACTTTATAAACGATATTTAAAACATTTACAAGATTCTTCATTAAGTACACTTTCACCGCACCATATTGTCATGTACGTGGAGCAACAAAAACAACAACAACAACAAAAACAAAAAACAACAACACACAAACAAAACAAAACATCAAGAATAAAAAACCACAACAACAAATTTTCTATAATTAAAGGAAATCGCCACAAACGTTTCACAAACCGACAGTACGCAATGTGATCGAAAACAACAACAACAACACAACAACAACAAAGATCAAGTTCGACCCCCCCAAAGTAATTATTTTGAAACTATTAATTTCTCTT